GTAAGTGATTCTATTTTTATATATATATATAGATAGAATAACAATATAATATATGTAAAGAGATAGTATTCTAAGAGAGAGCATGCTTATTTATTTAGCACATATACAAAGCAATAACATGCCTACAAATATATATTTGAATAATTATCAATTAATATATAAATATAAACCAATATAATATTTACCATTATGTCAAAACTTTGTCTTTGTTTTTATCATAAAAAACTTAATTTAAAAGTTTGAAGTATATATATGTAGTTAAGTTTATTATTATTGATAATTGAAAATAATAAATAATACGTATGTCCCGCAAAGCGTGTGGGTCCATGCAACTGATTGGGACAATGGGCAAGCGTGACCAAGCTCTATTGGTTAATGTTGACTGCCTCAACAAAGTTAGCGGATGCTCCACGAAACCTAGGCCACCGATTCTTTGTTTTTTATATGAGTTTGGACTTCGACACGTGTCCCTTAACTCACTTCATTTTTTGGGATATTGTATAAATTATGAGAGCTCGTATCAATACAAGGTATAATTACTTTTTTTTATCTCGCAACTTTATTTATTTTTGTTAAATTGACCTAAATGCTTTTCCTTTTCTTCCACTTTATTTATTTTTAATCTAATATATCTTTATATTTAGATTAAATTTATAAAATAAATAAATGATAGATGGTCAAAAATAATATAATAAAAATGTAAAGACAAATTATTTGATTTGTAAAGTTGAGAGTCCAAAAGATCGTTTTGTTTTAATTGCTCAACCATTAAAAATTTAACTTTCGGATCTTTATTTCTAAAATGGACCTAAACATTCAACTTTATTTCCTAAATAGAATATTATCTTTCTCCACCACCATTTACTATCCATCCATCGCTTGCTATATGTTAGTACTAAAATATTTTCTTTTTAATTTGATTTTACTCAAAATTGATAAAATTTAAATCAAATTTTCAATCTTATGTTGATTCAATTAGTAATGTTTATCGCACGATCAACATGAAAATCATGTATAAAGTCCTCTTCTTTATCAATAATATTGACGTCAATGCATCAAAACGAACGTTTTTTAAGTTTGAATGTAAAATTTCATAGTTATTTTCAATAAATGGATAAAAAAAACTGAACGACATTAAAAACTTAATAACAGAAGAATGTTTGAAACAATCTAATCTGAGGCACTGCATATACATAGAGTAAGTATCTAGATTTAAATATAATTTAAACTGGACCCGAATCAGTAAAAAGTTGTTTGAAAGTATCTACAGTTTGACATTAACGTTAAGTTAATTAATCCGGCGGCTCTCAGAAAAAGTCAAAATCTCCCCAGTCCCCTCATCATTCCACGTGTACATCCCTGATACGCTTAAACCTGGTGGCGTGCTTCGAGCCGGGGACCATTGTGGTCCATTGCATCATCTGCGGACACGTGTCCCCGTAGTTGCTGTCCCGCGAGTGGCGGAGAGAGTAGCAACGTCATTTATGGTCCCCCCACCGTCTCCCTTTTTATTTTAGTTGCTTGTCACCGCCTAACGCCAGTAACAGTCGCCTGAAAAATCTAACATTTTACCAACTCTCCACTTCATTAAGAATCAAATTAGCTTCGTTAAAAATCTTACTCATGGAACAACTAAACACAAACTTTGCTCTTCTTTCTGCATGCACGCTCAGTAGCGTCTTCCCCGCATTTTTTTCCACTTTCATTTATCTTTTTATTCAATAATTAGGTTAGTAAATGAGAATTTTTAGTTTAATCAATAAATTATGTTCATCAATATATCAAGTTTAACTAAGAGAAGATGAAATGTCTAGAGTTGATAGTAGTAGTTAAAATGCCAAAAGGTTGTGACTATTCATTGTATCACAATTATTATAAAGCATCCATCACCCCTATATAAATAACTCTTGTACTCATCAAATAAATATACAAACACATTAATCAAAGTCAGAATTCTCTCTACTTCTACTTCTTTTCCTCTATTTTTCTCCATATTTTCCCTACTTTGCTCCAACAAATTGTACAAATTAGTTAACCATATGTTAATGTTCAGTTAATGATAAACGATGATGATTTCATTCATCGATTCTAATTAGAGACGAATATAAAATTTTATGTAATGAGTAAATTTATAATATTTTAGAGAAAACTAACTGATAAAATTTTAAGAGAATGAATGAAAATAGATTATTAATAGAAAATATAAATAAAATATCTAAAATATATCAAACTTTTAATTTTTTCATGCTGCAATTGTGATAACTTCGTAAAAAACTACTTTTAAGACCCTTTTTCACTTAAGTTATTGTTTATCTAAGGGTTCATATATGTCATTTTAGATTCATATAGTTGCATGAAATTGTATTTGTGGTGGTTGTGTTATTTTTACTTTGTTAAAGTGCTATGATGGGAAAAGTGCTGATGGTTAGTGATGTGCAGGAAACAATGAGCATAGGGTAAGATGAGAAGAATGTCATGACATCACATGTTGTTGAAGCAGACTGTAATGTCTTGCATTTCTCGCGTAAAAAAGACAAATAGATGTTTTCACAAGAGGACAGTTATTAATAACTGTCTGAATGGGGTCCACTGCCACATGCGAAGATAAACTTCACGCAAAATGAATGAATTTGGGGGTATGATAGATATTTTGAGTGCACAATTACCCAAGAATACCCTTAGATATTTTATTTATAAGGACGCCTAACAAGAGAGAGAGAGATTATTGGAAAAAGCTTGGAAATCCATCATCATCTTCTTCATTTTCTCTACCTTCATTACCATCCATCTTTCTCCATTTTTATTGGTGTTCCTCCATTGGTGAAGCAAAAAGGGAGTGGCGTAGTATCCGAGAGGAGCTCACACTGTAGCCGTTCATGGTGGTTTGAGGGAAGTGTCGGCCGTGCACACCTAGTGTTTTCTTCTCCAACCTTTGCGCCATTGTTAAAGCTTGAAACTTTATTTGGGTTGTAAGGTCGAATGAACAATTGGGTATATTTTATGGTTTGTTTGAACCCTGCCATGAACTAAGCTATATTTGATAGGGTTCATTCGATGAATGCTTGAAACTTTATTTTAATAGTTGATGAATGTTTATCTCTTGTTTTTACTTTTTTTTTTATTTATGTGTGCTTCATCTTCTAAGATTGTAGGAGGCATGAGAGTGTTCATTTCTTAGATGATGACTAGATGTTCGAGAAAAATCTAGTCATTAATTCTTAAGTATTCGAGAGAAACTTAAGTATGATTAACATATACAAGCAATGGGATATAGTCAATCACTATAGCATAAGCTAGGATTTCAACGACTAAGAGGGGTAGTGCGTCTTCAAAAGTGTAGGTTGTCATAGTTGAGACTGAGAGAATATGTCGTGACATTCTATTATGTTAGGTTCCTTGTGACTAGAGATAACAAGAACACTTTTAGCAAACTCCGTCGAACAAGTAAAACATTAGAAGACTAAATCAGCTAGAAAGATAAGTTTTCAGCTCCTTAAGTGACTCCCCACCATTCATTCCCGAAGTAGTTTCCCATGTGAGGATTATCAAGCTATTCCATTTATATTTGTTATTTTTACCATTTTACATTGCCTTGGCATTTTCATCATATTCATCATTATAAACTGCTCTTTTGCCTCGATATTATTCACTCAATCACACTCTCTCACCATCATTTCATTCACTCTCATATTTCCATCGCCGAAGCATCATCAGTGTATATATCATTTCTATACTTAGATAAATTAGTGTAGTGTTGTGGTCAAACTCATAATTTTTATCAATCCCTATGGAGACGATGTTCACTCATCACTTTATTACTTATTGCGATTGTGTATAATTGCACATCATTTGCGTATAATTTATTAGTACTCATAACACTCAATAAGTAGTCCTTGTTATCCCCTCGATCCATCTGTAATGTACCCTTTTCAATATCCTTTTCTAGAAAGAGAAAACATAGTTATATGTTTTAGGGTTTAGGTGCCATATCGTAAAATAATGTTAGATAAAGTCTATGTTTAACAATAAACGAGGTTGAATTATGATAAACCTATCAACTGTTTAATATTTGTAATAATTAAGAAGATAAAATGGACGGAAATTGTATAGAAAAAATACTGATTATTGATTAAAGAGGTTTGAAGGAGTGAAGGATATAATGAGTGTAGATGTTACATTTATGACCCAAACAAAGTATTTATTGGCAACAAAAATGGAAGTGTGTCATGGTTTTATAGAGTAGTGTTGTTGTAGCTTCCTGATTAGCATAACTGTTGCTATTACTTTGTCGTAGGCAGAGAACAAACACGCAGTGACCAAATAACATAAATACAGTCGTTGCAACACAAGATCGCATCAACATCTACACTTTTGTTGTTCTTCTTCACGCGCCAATATCTGTTATTTTCATGTATAGTTATTTCAAGTGGTGAAAAGTTCAATATCCTTTAAATAACTTCTTGAGTTTGAATTTGTGAATAAGAAACAATGTTAGGTTATCCCTCAAAACAAGATTCTACTTCAAATGATAATGAATTACTTATCATTAATATGATTTTGAATTCGAGCTTTGTGAATAAAAAAATAATATTGAATAGGCTTATCCTAAAAATAAGAATCAATTCAATTTAACTTTAAAATTAATCAAAATTCTTGTGATTTCTAAATAAAAAAAAAATTGGCCCCCTCTCTAGTATATTCATGACTAACAATCAAATGAAAAAAAAAATTGATCTGATTTGTTCGGTCTAACTCGAAAAGTTTATAAAAAAGAAATTAAAAGAATTATATATATATATATAATGAAAATGGTCACATCCAGCATTTTGATAATATAAGGCAGGTTTATTTACCTAAACCAGCTTCTTCAAAACAACTTTCCCTTCCATTCGTCTTTCCTTTCCCTCATCAGACACGTTGATTACAGTAACTTGGATAGTTACAATCATTTCTTAACCTTTATCTTACACCGTCTATGCTTTAAAGGCAAAGCCCTCACCTTTGCTCTCTCTCTCTAAAAACAAAGACTTTAACTTTCTTTCCATTCGTTTCCTTCCCTTTCTCTCTCTATCAAACAACCATGAATTCATAATCGTCGAAACGCCGTGGTTGTCATCGTATTTCTCTCTTTGGTATCCGTTTCCATGGCGTTTCACCACAATAACCATCTTTCCCAAGACCTTCCTCTCCATCACTTCACCGACGAGCAGCAACAGCAACAAGCGGATCAACTGGGAGAAACCGCCGGTCCCAATTGGTTGAACACCGCCCTCCTCCGTTCGCAGCATCCTCAGCCACCGCAGCCGCACGGTGGTCAATTCTCTGACCATGGCTTCCTCAACCTTCATACTACAGAAACTGGTTCAGACTCCACCTCCACGGTTCGACAAGCTCAAAACCGGTGGCTATCACGTTCGCCGTCTTCGCTTCTTCACCGCAACCACAGCGACGTCATCGACGACGTGGCGGCCACCGCAGCAGCAGGAGGTGGTGGGGACTCCATGATTGCCGTGGAATCGGGGGATTTGAAGAACAGTAACAGCGAGACTTTGAATAACAACAAGAGCGAAGGCATCGTAGTGGAAAGTGGAGGAGATGGGGCCGTGAATTGGCAAAATGCTAGGTGTAAGGCGGAGATACTAGCGCACCCTTTGTACGAGCAACTACTGTCAGCACACGTGTCGTGTCTTAGGATCGCCACTCCGGTGGATCAGCTCCCGAGGATCGACGCTCAGCTGGCTCAGTCGCAGCATGTGGTGGCCAAGTATTCGGCTCTCGGCCAGAGCATGGTTCCCGATGACAAAGAGCTCGATCAATTCATGGTATGATGCTACTACTCTTTGAAAACCATTCATGATTGCTATTCTGGCTTCTTTTAAGTTTTCCATGTGGGAATTTTGAATTTTTAATTCTTCATTTCAAAACTTTTGTGAATAAATTCAGTGGTGTTCGATGCACCGACAATTATCTTTTGCTGATAATGGAATTTCCATCACTCTGATTTCAGAGTTGCTAATTGAAACAGAGTTTTTCCATATATGTCTTTAGATTTTTTGGATTAATTTCTCTAAACGTCCTCCATTTGTTGCTCATATTCTAAACTGGACTCAAACTTCAAATCATTCTAATTTGTATCCTCACATCAATCAAGTCTTTCATTCTCATGATTGACGAAAGTACATGATTGATATAATATTAATACTTCAACGAATCAACCCAAAGTTAAAATACTTTGAAGTTCAAGACAAATTTATTGCTTTGAGCTTTAATTCTTATGAGTGGATCTTACACTTGTTTTAGACATTGTTATTTCTAAGATGAAGTATATTAATGGTCATTGTATTATACTTAATTGATCGTTTTGGTGATTGAATTTTTAAATTTATAAAATGATCGTTATATTAATCGAATTATTATAAAATAATCATTAAATTTTATAATTATTATAATGACACAGATATCATTTTGTAATTAAATTAATGACCATTTTTGTAGCATTTGAAAGTTCAGTGACCTCCGATGTATTTTTCCCTTGTTTCTATTGTTACAACTTACAAAATTTTAATGGATCTTTGTATTTTTGAAGAAGTCATAGAAGACAATTTTATGACTTTTCGCTTGCCTCTTAATGTAGACGCATTATGTTCTGTTGCTATGTTCATTTAAAGAACAATTGCAGCAACATGTTCGGGTACATGCAATGGAAGCAGTTATGGCATGCTGGGAGATTGAGCAATCCTTACAGAGCTTAACAGGTATATTAGTTTTAACTGTCAAGCAGATGATGGCTCAATTAATATTCTTACTTCCAACGATTTACATTGTATCTGGACAAATGCCAAAAGCCGACACTCACCGTGTCGTTTCGTTTTCGACACATGAACAGGAGTTTCTCCAGGGGAAGGAACAGGGGCAACCATGTCTGATGACGATGAAGACCAAGTGGACAGTGATGCCAACTTGTTTGATGGAGGTTTTGACGGTCCGGATTCCATGGGATTTGGACCCCTCGTCCCGACGGAGACCGAAAGGTCTTTGATGGAGCGTGTGAGGCAAGAACTGAAACATGAACTCAAACAGGTAATGAAAACAAAAAACCATTGTTGGTAGAGTTTTTTCTTTCTTTTTTCTTTTATGTTGCAACTCAATGTTTACATTCCTTTTAGGGTTACAAGGAGAAAATTGTGGACATAAGGGAGGAAATTCTACGCAAGAGAAGAGCAGGAAAGCTTCCTGGTGATACAACATCAGTTTTGAAAGCTTGGTGGCAGACACATTCCAAGTGGCCATACCCTACTGTAAGTTCTAGTCCTTAGGACGATTAAAGCATGTTAAATCGGTGTTTGTATCAATAACCTAACTGACCAACTTTATATAAATATTATAGGAAGAGGATAAGGCGAGGTTGGTTCAAGAAACAGGCTTACAACTAAAACAGATAAACAATTGGTTCATCAATCAAAGGAAGAGGAACTGGCATAGCAACCCATCAACTTCAACCGTCTTGAAGAGCAAACGTAAAAGGTACGTTGAACGTCATGAATGTCTTGTGTTTAAACTTGTAGCCACTTACCAACCTTACTTTTCTAAACAAGTAATGCAGGTGAGAAGTGAAAAACACACCAAGGCGATGACCGTCTTCTCAACTGGATATCAATCGCGGCGACGAAATCGAAAACACCACAGAGAAAATTTCACAACAGTATAGGGTTATATGAAGATAAGGGCTAATTTACATGATGTTGTTGTTGTTGCAGCCGATGAAACCCGATTCGTAGCCGGTTTTGCAGGTATGCATTGGTGCAATATGCCGGCTGATGCAGTAGTTTTAGAGAAGTTTAGGAAATTATACTAGCGAATTTTTATGATTTTTGTTCACTCTTTTTGTGTGTGTGTGGTAGTGAGTGTACAGTGCAATAAAACTCTGCATAGTTAGCTTACAGTCATTGTAGAACATCATCATTATAATAGCTTCTTCTCCGGTATTGTAATGTAGAGTTTGAATTTGCAGCAGAAATGACATATGAAGCGTTCACATTTGGTTGCAGATATGCTTGAAAGCCTTCTTTTAAGGCTTTTTTCATCTATTATTCTTTGGTGTTAATGATGAAATTGGATTCCTGATGCCTTTCATCATGATGAATGATATTATAGAGTTGATATTTTTTGTTGGATTAAATTTGTCATGAATTAACAAGATAGATTATTTTAGTTTTTTATTGACATTAATCGTGAGATTGATTTTGGACAATCTCACCCTTCTCACTTATAAAAAATGAAATAATTTTAAATTAAATACCCTTTATTGTAACTAATTCATCAACTTTGAATTTGGTCAACGAGTTTATGGGAATTAGAAAAATAGTCCAGTTGTGGGTGCCAAATTCTATTAAAAAAAATGAACCCAAATTGTTAATTTTTGCAATTTGCTGCATATAAATCACTAATATGCTGGTTAAAACTAAATCTTCAATTTAGGTATAGTTGGTTTATAGGGTCGTTCTGCGGTGCGGCGCCTAAAAAACGGCTAATATACGGCGTGACCGGTTAAACAAGTGACCGGTTAAAATTTAGACCGGTTATGTTATATTATTTAACCGGAAATATTATAAAGTACAATAACATACTAGGTAGCGCTTATATAATGTAATAGGTAGCGCTTATATTTACCTATTTTATAAGTAAACCGGTATATTTATACCGATAGCATTGCAAATTTACCTATTACATTATATTATATTGAAAGTGTCCATACTTTTTATAAAAAGGATCGATACTTTAACAGTGTTTCATGTTTTCCACCTACAATATTGATTTAATAATTTCATTTGCACAAAAAATTATTTGATTGTTTTGATATTTTATAAAATATTATTTAGAATTTTTAATTTAATAATAATATATACCGTAATGTAAAAAATAAATCATTAGACGCCTATAATTACTAAATTAATATCTTAAAACTCACTCAAAAGATAACCTTAAATTAATGTTTTCCACAGTGAAAAAAGTATGGACACTTTTATAAAAGGATAGACACTTTACAATATAACCACTACCTATTGCTTGGCATCATATGAGATTTGGATTTTGATTTCCTTTTGCTTGGCACCATATGAGCTTTGGATTTTGATGAGCATCGGAAGTATTTCAGACTTATGATTTGGGTGGTACTCAACTTATGATTTTAGTTGCTATTTGTTACATTTCTTGTATACCACCCAGATCATACGCCCGAAACGTTTCTGACGCTTTAAAGTTGACCAAAAAATAAAATGGTCGGGATTTCCCTCGCGTTTATACGTTGGAAAAAAAACAATGGAAATTAGGAATAATCAATGATAACATGCATATTGGCTTGGGCTAATATTTATAGTGGAGCCGAAATATATATTGAAATTCAAACTCAAATTGAAATTTAAATTCAAACTCCAATTACATATGAAATGAATTTGAAATGCAGTGTTAAATTGAACATGAAAATTGCATAATTGATTCATATTGTTCAAGTAACATGCTTTATGAACCATCAAGCTAAAAGACAATATTGATTGAGTTCAAAGCTGAGTTGTGAGTTGATGGAGTTGTCACACTTGTCACATGGTTGGAATAAAGTACTCACATGCGAGATAGATACCTATTACATTATATAAACGATACCTATTACATTATATAAGGGCTACCTATTACATCATATGTTTACCTATTATATGAAAGTGTCCATACTTTTATAAAAAGGATCGATACTTTTTTTAAAACTTATGTAATTTATGTTTCAATTTTTTTAACAGTGTTTCATGTTTTCCACCTACAATATTGATTTAATAATTTCATTTGCACAAAAAATTATTTGATTGTTTTTATATTTTATAAAATATTATTTAGAATTTTTAATTTAATAATAATATATACCGTAACGTAAAAAATAAATCATTAGACGCCTATAATTACTAAATTAATATCTTAAAACTCACTCAAAATATAACCTTAAATTAATGTTTTCCACAGTGAAAAAAGTATGGACACTTTTATAAAAATGATAGACACTTTACAATATAACCACTACCTATTACATTATATAAACGATACCTATTACATTATATAAGGGCTACCTATTACATCATATATTTACCTATTATATTGAAAGTGTCCATACTTTTTATAAAAAGGATCGATACTTTTTTTAAAACTTATGTAATTTATGTTTCATTTTTTAACAGTGTTTCATGTTTTCCACCTACAATATTGATTTAATAATTTCATTTGCACAAAAAATTATTTGATTGTTTTATATTTTATAAAATATTATTTAGAATTTTTAATTTAATAATAATATATACCGTAACGTAAAAAATAAATCATTAGACGCCTATAGTTACTAAATTAATATCTTAAAACTCACTCAAAAGATAACCTTAAATTAATGTTTTCCACAGTGAAAAAAGTATGGACACTTTTATAAAAAGGATAGACACTTTACAATATAACCACTACCTATACATTATATAAACGATACCTATTACATTATATAAGGGCTACCTATTACATCATATGTTTACCTATTTTATTGAAAGTGTCCATACTTTTTATAAAAGGATCGATACTTTTTTTAAAACTTATGTAATTTATGTTTCAATTTTTTTAACAGTGTACTGCGAATTTAAAATGATATATACTTGTAGTTATTGTACATACCTAAATATGTACTGCGAATTTAATGTTGTACCCACCCTTTAACTACAGAAACATGTTCAAAATGAACCTTCGTTTACATATCCATCAACTCCTGGAGCACTGAACTTGCACAACAAAATTTTTGCCATGGATAATACTGATGTAGACAATGTTAAGCCAACCGAGGAATGCCATGAAGTACATAATGTTGATGAATCTGACAGATTGGTTGGTCAGCTCTTCTGTTCACGTGATCAAGCTTGGCACTTTTACAAGGGATTCGCACGGGAACATGGGTTTAGTGCACGTAAGGGAACAACACGGCTTGACGTGGAAGGGAATGTGAAGACACAAGAATTTTGTTGTTCCAAGAAGGGTTTCGAGTATCAAAAGTCAATACTGTTGATCGTCAACGTGCTCATACGCCAGTCACAAGAACAGGATGTAAGGCTAGAGTCGTAGTTACAGCAACAAATACAAACGATCAGTGGGTTATAAGTAAGTCTGATCAGAAACATAATCATGCATTGTGCACATCTGCTATGACACCATTTATGCGTTCTAATCGAGCTGTAAGTAAGGCTGATATCGATGAGGCAACAACATTGAAAGAGGTCGGTGTTGGCACGTCACAAGTAATGAACTATTTAACGCAGCAGGCAGGGGGCTATCATAATGTTGGATTTACACATAAAGACCTCTACAATGCACTTCAAAGAGGTAAAGCAAAGGAAATCGTCGATGGGGATGTGAATGCGCTTATTGCCTACTTTGATTATAAGAAACATGATGATCCGGGTTTTTTATGACATACTCGGTAGACGAATCGGGGGCATTGTATAATCTTATTTGGTCGGATTCTACATCGAGATCGGATTACACATGCTTCGGTGATGTAATTGCGTTCGACACAACGTACAAAGATAATTTGTATGGTCGACCAATTATGCCTATTGTTGGTGTCAATCATCACCATAACACAATTGTGTTTGCCACTGCCATAATCGCTGACGAAACGTCTCAATCTTTCGAGTGGGTGCTACAGAATTTTTTAGAAGCCATGATGAATAAATCACCTATTTCTGTTGTAACCGATGGGGATAGGGCAATGCATAGGGCTATCAAATCTGTTATCCCTTATGCTAAGCACAGATTATGTTCTTGGCATCTTTCTCGCAATGCACAAGCTAACATTGGTGACCCAAAGTTTACAGCAGCATTCTCAAAATGCATGGCTTCCTGGTGGACAACCAAGGAATTTGATATTCAATGGCGTTCGATTGTTTCAGAATTCAACGTCCAAAAGCATCCATGGGTGATTGAGAAGGGAAATACACGACACTTATGGGCACAAGCATATCTAACCGGTCATTTCTTTGCCAATATTCGCTCAACACAAAGGTGCGAGTCTATGAATGCTTCACTAGCTATTGCACTGAAACACAAGAAGACATATTTAGATGTTGTTCGTGCAATTGAAGATGGAATTAGTAGAATGCGTATGAACGAGTTGAAAGCGGATTACTTAAGTTCCCATACGAAGCCCTTCCAGATCACAAAACTGGTCGACCTTGAAAGCCATGCCGCTGCGATTTTTACCCGCGAATCTTTTCGTGTGTTCCAAGATGAACTTACACGGGAGACATTGTACCGGATTGAGGCAGAGATTAAGTCCTTATCAGATGAATGTCAACATTATATTTTGTCAAAGTACGCAGAAAAAAATAGGAAATTTGAAATTAGTTTTGATTCTCGTACGAAAACTCTAATTTGCTCCTGCAAAAAATTCGAGACCGTTGGACTTCCGTGTCGCCATCAACTTCACATTTTGAAGCAATTGGACTACACATATTTGCCCGGGACTTTGATTCAAAGTAGGTGGACTAATGATGCGAAGGCTTCTGCACCCAGCTATGTTGATTTGAATGTGTCTCCAGAAGTGATGCAAATGGCAAGGTTCGCTGCTCTACGTTCAACGTCAAGTAGGTTATGCTACATTGCATCAAAGACAGACGAGTCTTTCAAAACCGCAAGAGATGAGATGAAAAAACTAATAGAAGAATTAGAAAACTCGTTTGGTTTGAATCATTCAGTCAACCAGAGCATTGTAGTAAACAATGTTCGTGACCCTCAACGAAAACAACGCAAGCGAAAAGAAGTGCCGAAGAACAAGGTCGAGAAGCAAATTAGGCGATGTGGGTACTGCAACTGTGAGGGGCATAACAAACTAACATGTCCTCAAGTCAAGCTTAGTTTGAGTACAAGCACACAGCCTACATCAACTGATTTTTTCGAAGACGGAATGGAATGACAACGATCTCCATATAATATATCGTAAGTATCAACATCACTCCTATTGTATGTACATATAAATATTTTGAATGAAGGAAGAAAAACCGCGTTACTTCAAATTACCGACACTTTTTTAAATGGTATGGACATAAAGTACCGACACAATATTATAAAGTGTCGATATAGGTTGTAGACCTATTTGCTCATAAAACCGGTATATTTATACCGGTTATATTACAAAATTATCTATTACATTATAATTATGGGTTCCGATGTGTAAAATGTCGACACTTTTTTAAATCGTATCGACACATTTTTCTTCCAATATGGACATAAGTACCGACACAATATTAAAAAGTGTCGATATAGGTTGTAGACCTATTCGCGCATAAGACCGGTATATTTATACCGGTTATATTACAAAATTATCTATTACATTATAATTATGGGTTCCGATGTGTAAAATGTCGACACTTTTTTAAATTGTATCGACACATTTTTCTTCCAATATGGACAT